TGTGTGTGTGTGTGTGTGTGTGTGTGTGTGTGTGTGTGTGTGTGTTGATCTTACGCCCCAGGGAATGATGTAATCAGCTAACCTCAAAACAGTGTATTCAAAAATACAAACACATTTAGCTCTCTTATTACGGAGATTCTCAGTGAGAGCATTCATTCAATATGTGCAAGAAAATGATACATTAAAGAAAAGCAGCCCTGCAAAAGGTGGGAGGAGGTGTTAAGAAATGTCTGAAAATGGCTCTCTTCTGTTTGGCACCTTTTCTAGGACATGTACCTCTGGTAGTCTGCTACTTCATTTCTTGGGTTATTTCACCATTCTATACATTGGAAAACACTGTGGACTGTGTAAATATTTCTTAACCACTAAAATGCAAACCAGTTCGCAACATGACCTATGTCTGATTCTCCCTGAGTATTTTTCATTGTTCTTTCTTCATTGACAAAAGGCCATTGAGATTCTTAGTGCCCCTCTTAATGAGTCAGATTCCATTCTTAACAAGTTAAGAATATTTATTTTTTTCTTTTTTGATATGTTTTAATATTTATAGCAGCATGTGGCATGTGTGTGGTAATGCACATGTATGATGGGCTGAGCACCTGTGTATGGAAGAGAAGGGATATCCTTCTTTATCACAGATATCCTGCTTTATCACACTCCAAATTATCTCCTTGAGACAGCCTCTTACTGAAATTGGAGCACACTCTCCTGTGAATAGACAGGCCACACCCTGCAACACCGGGGTTACTGGAATGTACCTAGCCACCCAGCTATTTATGCAGGTGCTAGGCTTCATTCTTGTGCAGCAATCTCTTTTTCCCATTGAGCTATTTCCCTTCTTCCCCATTTTGTTCCACATACTTTTCTAGATGTTTCCTTATTTTTAACGATTTCATACATTGTAAAAGAAATATGACCATATCGACCTCATTTTACTCCTGTAAATCTCCCCATATTCACCCAACATGCCTTTTCCAATATTCTCTCTCTCTCTCTTTCTCTCTCTCTCTCTTTCTCTCTGTCTCTCTTTCTCTCTCTCTCTCTCTCCCTCTCTCTCCATCTCTATCTCTGCCTGTCTATCTCTCTGTCTCTGTTTCCCCCCACCGCCTTTCCACCATTCTCTTTCCCTCCCTCCCACTAAGTCTAGTTAGTAAGATATATATATATCTTTGGGCCACCCACTGGAACACTGGAAATCTTTCTGTGGCAATTTCACTTTTGACACAGTTATCATTGAATGGAAAATTTTTATGGATATCTTTCCCATATTCTTCTTTCTGTTACTCACATTCAATCCTTGGCATTTTAAAGGGTTGATTTTAGCTTGATATCTCCAAGAAGGCCTAAAATACATTTTCTTTTTCTTTTAGCTTCAGACAAGCTTGACTGAACCAATGACATTATCGAAATCCATCTCTCTTCCTCGTAGTGCATACTGGCATCACATTACGCGTCAGAACAGCGTTGGAGAAATCTACAGCTTGCAAGGCAAGTAGTTTTACAGTGACAAAACCACACTGACTGCTATCCACATCCTTCGGTGGAGGAGTCATACAAATTGCTGTGTGTTTGCACTGATTGTTTTTTTGTTTTTGTTTTTTTTTTTTAATTTTGTTTCCACTCAGCAACTGTCTCGGGTCAGAGTTGGAACTCTGAGATTCACCATTACTTTTTAAAGCTATCATTTTATACATGCACGCTATAAAATGATTCCTAAAATTATTGTGATGGATAAGGACCAAATTTGACAGTAGATGTTGACTAAAATAGTGTACAAAGCACACTGTGAAAAGCTGAAAGTTGAGTGCTGAGGTCTGTGTTGTGCTGTTTTGCAAAGAACTTCTTTTTCAACATCGTTTATTCTTCCTACGATTAAGCGTCTAATCAGAAGTTGTTTTCAGACTTGGTACTAAAATGCTTCACAAACTTACAGAAGCTTTCAGATCTGCCAGTGTCTTACCAGAGAAACCCATTGGGGAGGGGCAACATAAAAGAGGTGGAGTGTAAACAGGATGTCTCTGTGATTTTTTTCAGTGACCAGTTAATCAACATGGGAATGGTTTGTTGGCTGAGGAGACTAGAAATGTATCAATCAACTAATGGACAGCCACAGATACCCTGCTATTACCCTTTCTATTGTTTCTCTTTCGTTTTAAATGATTACCATTATTCTTTATATAAAATGTTCTCTCTAGAGGAAGAAACATAAGGATAAAACTAAAATGCACAACTAAAAACACACATTAGGCTTGAAAGAGGTAGGCTCCCAATAAAATACCTAGTGAATACATAACTATTAAAGCCATAATTTGGTATTTTGTATTATGTTCTTATTTTCTTTAGTTTTTGTACTTATTAACATCGTTAATTTTTCTTCAACACAATAATTATATTACAAGCAAAGAGAAATAATATGAATGGAAGAATATAAATAGCATTATTTTCTTGCCAGGGTTTCAGAAAGACAAATGAAATTTAATCGCGAAGAAATGATTAAATATGTGTTCTTCAAGGAAAAGAAGTTGGAAGGATTTTAGTCATTTATAGAAGGCAATTGCTGTTGGGTGGTGGTGGTGGTGGTGGTGCATGACTTCAATCCCAGAACTCAGGCAGTAGAGAACAAAGGACTTTTGCAAGTTTGAGGCTAGCTTGTTCTTCAGAGTGAGTTCCAGGAAAGCTGGGGCTACATTATAAGAATGTGGTATTTAAACAAATGTCCAGAAAGGTAAAATGAGTGAATGAGCTTCTCTTGTGTCTGTACTCCACTACCCCCTAAAATAGTTCATGGCCTGGCTTTATTGATGCTGGCTTTGATGCTAAGGTCAGAAATCATGGTTTTAAGGTTATAAATATGTGTATACAAATAGGACTATTCTCAAGCAGAAATTGGAATATTTGAATCAAATAATTGACATTAAATATTTAAGTAAAATAATGTGACAGATTAATAGAAAGCATTGGAAGGCAGTTTATAAATGCTCTGCTTTGTTTATTTATTTGATTATAAATTCCAGAATAACACACAGTTGTTTTCATGACCGTATAACTGAAGCTTTTCTTCAATGAAGGAGTTACTATTTAGACTGAAAAATAGCTCCAGTTTGCTTTTGATGTGAAATTATTTCACATCAATAAATATAACCAGGGTAGATTGAAGTATCTCTTTAAATACTGCCAGACATTCATTGAAAAACAATGTTAATTTTGCATTCTAAAATCAAGATATTAAGTGTTTAAAATTTTCCATGCTTTATACCTATAATACAAATTAGTCTATGTATATGGCTTCAATATCATGCTATTCCCTGCTTATTTGGTTGGTTATTACTTTGTACTATATACATACAAATATATGGATATATTTTCAATTTAAATTCTATTTCGTTAACTATGTGTTGACCATTGTACTGCATTTTTCTTAGACTAATACACCTTACCATTTGGTGAAGCCTTATTTTATCATTATAGCATACACAAGGGTGGTAATAATTATCTAGATACTCAGGAAGAGATAAAATAAGTAGACAGATACAAAGATGAGAAGACAACAAACAGATGATAGGTAACAGTTACAGATATGATCTTGTTAGGGACACTTGACAGAAATGCATTATTCTGTGGTAGCAGTCCACATAGGCAAGAGATATGAATCCTCAAAAACTTTCCTCACTGGAACTAAATTCTGGTGAAATCAGCATTGAATAAAATTACTGAAACAAGGGAGAAATAAAAATAGAAGCAATGAATTTCAGTACCCTTTTGTGAATCTGTAATGCATGTACAAGTCTGGTTACCTTGCATCCGTAGTTATGATCCTGACTCAGCATTGCTTCTTTTTCACAGTTGACTGTCATTGTGTAGTTTGCAGAGTCTAGTAATATGAATGCTATTTGCCAAGTGTCTCAGTCAGTTTTCTTGCATGCAGTCTCCATACCATGGTATTCTCTGGTTAGCTGGTTTGTTACTGTTTTGGTAAAACAAAACTATACTAAGGTAATTACTATACAACAAATTTTAGAATCTATTCAATGTAAATTGTATCTTATTGACTGTAAACAAGAAGAAGCCAAGGAGAGGAGAGGTTCTTCTGATTTACAGTTCAGGGAAAAGCATTCCCCTTGTGACAGCTGAAGCACAAGGCAGCTGGTCACAGTGGGATTTTACACGGTATGCAGAGCAAAAAGTCTCCTCTCCACTGGCTTTCTCATTTTTATTCAGCCCAGGACCCAAGCACATCAGATCATTCTTTTCATATCCAAGACAGGTCTTCTCTCTTAAATTACCCCTTTCTAGAAACACTGTCATGGGTACAATCAGTGACTTTCTATGGAAATTCTAAAACCGGCAAAGCTCGAATGAAGATTAGCTATTATATCAAGTAAACCACAGGTAAGATTCAGGAATGAAATTTGTTTCAGAATTTTCTCTTAATATTTTTACATTCAAGCTCTAAGCTGCAGATGAATGTGAATTAAATTCAGTGAGCTTTCATTCAGAAGGAAAAGGAGAAAAGTTTTATTGCTCCAAGTTTAATAGTTTGGCTTCGTTAATAAGCAGCGCATGTACTAGAGTTGGAAAAAATCATGGCCTGAAAACAAACTAATCTATATTAAACTTACATAGAACTTCGATTGCCTGTCAGCCTCTACGCTTTACACTTAGCTAAGTTTTACTCCATTCATTTCTTTGTATGTTGCTAGACACCCCTTTAAAGACAAATATGTCAATAGTGAGATGTAGCACTTGGCTTTGTGATTGGAGAATAAGTGACATAGAATAAGTTGGTCTTTCCTTGATACTCCCCGAGGGTGCTCTGACAGAATGAGAAATTGTGGAACCAAGATCAAATAAATGAGAAGAGAAATCATTACCTACTAACCAGTCTCCCATTGTCCTGAATAATTGCCAGGTAGCTTGTGATAGGTCAACTTTTCCCACTTTTCCTTGCAACAGTGGACTTCTCTTTATTTTAGGAGATAGGAATTCTTAATTTATATTATCAGGTGATGCATTACCTATATTTGTTCAACTTCCTCTTTGTATATACAAATGTTCATCATACATATACATTAATGTTTTCTCTAAAGTGAAGGAAGTCTATTCTGCTGAAGGAAAAAAACCATGATTTTTGAACTTTTGACTCTGAAATTATGTTTAAAAAATACTATCCTTTGGGCAGTGGTGGCGCATGCCTTTAATCCCAGCACTCGGGAGGCAGAGGCAGGTAGATCTCTCTGAGTTTGAGGCCAGCCTGGTCTACAAGAGCTGGTGCCAGGGCAGTCTCCAAAGCTACACAGAGAAACCCTGTCTCAAAAAAATCAAAAAAAAAGATAAGAAAAGAAAGAAAGAAAATAAAACTGTCTCTAAAAACAAAACAAAGAAAAAATTACTATCCTTATAAATTTTATGTTTATCTTTAAGAAGGAAGAAGGGAGAGAGAAAAGAAAATTGGGGGAGTTTGGAGGGAATGCATCAGCCTATTTTTGGTGTCTCAGTAACAGCTTGTAGAAAAATGAGCCTCTTCTAGAAGCAATAGCTTCTCTCTACTAAAATATAGAAGGAGAAAGAGGAGTTGACAGAGGAAGATTGAGAGGGGACATAGGAACTAAGTATAGACATTTCCTATTGCTAGTCATTAACTTAGCAAGAACACAAACTGTTCTGAAATGCAGCAAATCTCCCCCTTTAACCTGCCAGCTCAATTTCTTTGCTCTCCATCTGCTGCTCTCCCGCTGGGGTTAACTTTTCGTCAATAAACTGTACTGAAAGGGGAGTTGAAGTGGTCTCAGAGAATGTGCTTATGGGGGCAAGCTATTCATAATTTTTTAACATATATATAATCTCTTATTTTCATTTAAAATTAAGTGGGTTAGATATACTCTCCATTGTTTCTGAAGAGTTTGAACAAAAACAATTGAGGACCTATCTGCTGTAAAGGTGGGAGCTATAGAAGTTCTGCTTTCATTAACACTGATGAATATCCAAATGCCAGCTCTGAATTGCATGCCCTCTTCTGCCCTCTGTGTGTCTGTAATTAAGCTGCAGACCACCAGTGTCAACACCAAAGCTTACCTAATTACACCAAAGGCATTTGATGCTCACGGAAAGGGCAACTGTGGCTCCAATTTCGCAGAAGGACAGGACAGGAACAGACAATTAGAATTAGAGATAACCTTCAGAAAATGGTAAAGAAAATTCCAACATAGACTAATGAGGTAAATCAAAGACTTTATTAATTCTTCCATTAGCTATGACCCTCTGTCCTTCTTTACATCCCATTCAGTTTTAAATTTGAATTCTGTATAGTTTTCCCATTGACATTTGTTTGTTTAGAAATTCACCATGACATGTTTACTAGATTACAGAGTAAAAGCCTTCTTAAACTTAAAAACTAATAGAGAAATTTGCAGCAAAAGTCAAGACTAGTTTACATTTTTCATTTCTATATTCAGATTGTATGTTTTTGGACTAAGTAGGCAGGACAGTCA